GGTGATGTTGGAGCGAAATGACATGGCAGATCATTGGGATGTGTTTGGAATGTGTGGAGTTATCAGTCGGGCAGATTTCCTGGCAAACCGTGGAAGCCAGGGGCCCATAAACTAGAATGTGCTTTTCTAACAGTCCAGGGGGTCATCCTATCTCACAGACCCATATATGCTCCCTGAAACAGTGAAAAAACATGAACTGTAGGTACAAACAGTTTGACTTGACTGTGTCCGTTTTTGCTTTTTCCTATTTTCCTCATCTGGCTTCTATTGTGGAGCTTATTATGGTATTAACATTAGAGATTATCAGTCACACCAAAATGATCACAAGTATTAAGTAAACTTATAAAGGCTTTAGGGCAAAAAACCCTTTTGGAATATTCCCTAACTTTAGTGACCTCTTTAGCTTCTTTGTATTTCGGAAAAGAGTTTTAATAAATCGGATTTTCCTTCAGAAAATCCAATCAGAACTCATTAGATTTGTGTCCTAGGAAGCTTGAAATTTGAAATGTAAAATGGCTCTGCCTCTTTGATATACTCCTTTTTCTCTATATTGTGATTATGGAGACGTAGGTATGGATACTAACAAGATAAAGTGGGGTGGGGATTAATATACACTGTGTTGTCCCAACTGAAGGAGCTTAAAAACAAACACTGCTGCTGAATAAAGGAAGGCGAATCAATCACTGAACACAGACTAATCCAAAACTTGGCAGATAGGAGTCAGGAAAAGAGGCAGACAGAAAGATCTGGCAGAGAGCAAAGGAAACCCGGCTGAACTTATACTGAGGAAACCAAGACCATTTAAACAACAGGTGAGTGGAAATCAGTAAACAAAGGTCAAGCGTGTGTTTAAGGCTGGGATACAAAGTGACTCCAGTAACTGTGGAAGAAAACCCAAACAATGTTGTCATTTATGTCCAAGTTAAAAACTAATTCTATTGGGGCTGCACTGCAAAAAGGATGTAGAAGAAAATAAATATTTTCTTAAATTAAGTGTATTTACCCTTAGATTAAGTAGGTAACTAAGACGATTTGCCAATAGAATGAGTATTTTTACTCTTACAATAAGATCGTTAGATAATTTGCACTTGAAATAAGACATGTAATAGTTTTTTTCTTATTTTGAATGTAAATTGTCTTGTTCCATTGGCAAAGTGTCTCACCTCCCCAATTCAAGAAAAAATGCACTTATTTAAAAAAAATTACTTGGATAGATAAATTTTTTTGCAGTGTGCCTTTTACTATTAAACTGAGGTATTGCTTTTATTTGCTTTACTACCTCCTTTTATCATGTTTTTATCTTTACTTGCCTTTTTTTCTCATCTATTTTATTGTTTGTTTATGTAAAGCACTTTGAATTGTCCTTTTAATTTATTGTGTAATACAAATACATTTTTTGTGCCCTGCCTTGTGTGAAAGAAAGAAGTTGAAAATCAATTTAAAGCTTGTTGATGCCAGTTCTTGAAAATAATATCTCATAAAGTGTCTGTTTTTAATGACGCTGATTGTCACAGGAATGTGAAATTTATGTTGTTAAATGACCTTAAGTTTAAATAAGAAACCAATTTGAGGAAATTTTTTGTCTCTTCTTCATTATTATGTAGCTATGGCCAAATCATCAACTTATTGGGCATTCATTTCCCAGAATCTGTCCAAGTCCAAGGTCTTTACATCAGATGCTCTATTTCACATCAAATTAAGCTAAACCCCAGCAGGGATTTGATATAATGAGGAATTTGGTAAAAATAAACAAAGGCAAACAAAAAAGAAACAAGCATATATTTAGGTTCATGGGTCCCACTGAGCTCAAGGTAGCACCTGCTCACTTGCTTTGAAGGTGCTGGAGGTTGTGCACAGCGGTGGGAAACCTCTGAAGCCTTTCTGCTCCCAGTAGTAAAGAGAAGAGTAACCACAGAGAGGAGCGATAGTTCTTAAAATGCCCGCCTGGTTTCTCTGGAAAGTGACTGTGATGCTGGAAAGTGCTGCTTTACGATGCCTTCACACTCCAGTGGCAGCACGTGTGGAAAAAGCACCAAACACATGAGCACAGAACAATGTGTGCAGATATGAGAGGTTTAAGATGTGGTATCTTATACATCAGAGGAGCCAGACTCAGCAGTGGCAAAGAACATTAGCCCTCATTTCGAAGATGTCACAATAGATTAGATCGATTTAAAGAAAAAGAAAATCCTTATATCCACAAACCTGACCTGAAGAGAACAATAAATCAAAAGTCACACTCTTTAAGGGCTGCTGCTTCTTTAATCCATTTAACTTTCAAATCTCTGAAGATTTTGCATGTATATAATATGATTCACTTTGGTTTGAGTCTTTGCTGCAGACTACAGTGGACAGAAAGTACATTTGATTTCAAAATAAAAGACTTCAATTTGTGGTGTACATTTGTATTCAGCCTATTTCATTCTCTCGTATCTCCAGATATTTATGAAAAATAACCCGTTACAATAAATTACCTTCTGAAGTCACATAATTAGTACATGGACTCAACCTGTGGTGTAATTTATTACTGATTTAGTGAAAAAAAACAGTGGCAGAGCTAGATGGGGGGCATGGGGTGGCCATGGCCACCCGTAGGTAATCGTTGGCCACCGTTGTGGCCACCCCTACCATTTTTTCCCTGTGATACAGATGGTGGCAGCAGTATCTCAAGTGGAATATTCAAAATATTAAAAATAATCATATATTAACAATTACTTGACAACAAAAACACTGTGGTTAATGTGTGGTTAATGTGGTTATGCACATCAATATACTAACATTAAAGATGATAAATATGGAATTCATGCTCTTTTCAGAACTAGATTTGTCATTTGGGGTAAAGAAAAAATGATGTGTTTCTGCAAGTCATCTAGGGGTCTTCAGTGAAATCATAGATAACTATTTTAATAAAAACCTAATAAATAACCAATTTATGTAGATATTAGTACTTGTAATTATCAATTTTATGCAGAATGATTATTGATAAAAGTAGGTAAGTAACGACAATGGAAAAGATTTACGCCCCAGAACTCAAACCTTAAAGAATTTTATCCACTATACCTTTTATCTAGAAAGCACGGATGTTTAAATTTATGCTTCTATTTGTTTGGAAAGGCTTTAGCGACGCATAGTTTGTCTTTATTTAGAAAATATGGATGTTTTGCTTGTTATTTTTCCTGTTGGAACAGTGTAGATTGACCCTGAGATTGTGGCGCCGATCCACTGTTGGCCACCCCTCAGCGTTCATTGGTTGCTGCCTGGCCACCCTTATAAAAATATTCTCACTACGCCTCTGGAAAAAACCAAAAGCTTTGATAAAAACAAGGGACACTCTAGACAGGTCAGGTACAACAAGTAATATACAAAAAGCAGTCACCTAAACTGATAGGTCAGAAAATAGTTTATCAGTCAGAGAAGCTGCAGATATATAAGTCATGCCCTTACCTTTATGGAAGAGCTAAGAACAAAAACAATTGAAATTAGCCAAAGGCCACGTGGAGGAAAAGCAAGTGCAGATCAGACAAAAGTGAATAATTTGATTGACAAGCAAATAAATATGTGTTGACAAAGTTTACATTGGACTATACCCTGAACAAAATATCCCCACAAGTAAACACGGCCAGGGCCGCAATACACCGCATGCCTACTTCTCTTTAGCGCAGTGGCAGGACAATGTGATGGGAAGGTGGGTGGAGCTAAGTATGGGGCAACCCTGCAGCAAATGGTGTTTCTACCAGTTATTCACTTAAGGGGGTTCAATAATAATCAACGCCACACCTTTCAGACTTCCCTTCTATTTTAACAGTTACGAAGAACTTTTGTTCAAAATCCCACAAAATTAAATAAAGCTAGTGGCTGAAACACGACAGACTGAAGAAAAGGTCAACTGTTGCGAATATTGTAGGAACGTTGAACATTTTTCTCTGTGCCTTTATGGAACTACGATCTTCAAATGAGAAAGGATACGTTACTGTTTGAAAATACTCTTAACTTCCAATAAAGCAAACTTTTGGTCTGATCTTCTCACAGATGAAAGTCCTACCGACAAAATCTGCAAAAAATTTATGATTGTAATGCTTTTGCAAACCCAGACTAGTCTCAGATTTCTCCTGACTCCTCATGAAATGCCTCAAACTTTAAATATTTTCTCCAAACTCCTATCAATTAAAGCTAAAATTACAAGAGTAAATGATACAATCAGTAAATGTTTTGTTTAAGCTGACCCCTATAAAAAAATAATATATAAGACCAGAGAAAACATATCGGTTTCATGCTCTGTCAAAAAACAAGAAACTATTTTTAAATGGATGCAAAACAAAAGTCTGATTCCCGGCCTTCTTCAAAAATTATATATCATGGGAAAATGTATTGCATGGATAGAGGTATGTTTAAGATTTGATAAACAGTGCTTAATCGCAGTCACTTCTTTCTTCATTTAAAGCACGCTTCTAGAGGCTCTCAAAGGGAAAGATACTTGACAAACTCACGTTCAACTCTTTTCTCTTCCACCTATACCTCACTGCCTCTCTAACTCCTTGATGTAGTAAACTCAAGTTTTGTTGCTTATTTGCCCTGCCTCTAAATAATTTTTGTGGACATACTTGCTCTCCAGAGTGGGTTTTTATGCTTCCAATTTTCTCCTCTTATGCATCATGGGAAACAGCAACAAAATCCAAAAAAATTAAACCAGCAAAAATGCACCATGTGTGTCTATTACTCACTGCAATCCTTGCATTTTTTGTTTCTCCACACACTTAACACATCTGGATCATTTTGGTGGCATTTGCATTAAAACTGAGCCCAGGGTAAAATAGAGCTTCTTCAAAAGGGTGATGAATGAGGATGAGACTTAAAACAACAACCTCACTGGCAACATAAAATCTGAGGACAACTTCTCACATGATAAACTACACCCACTAAAAGTTTGGGTTTTACAATTTGCACCTAATTATTCCTTCACAAATGCAAAGATTAGATGAAAACTAAACTCCAAATCTTACCGGTTAGAGGAGATTTCCCTCCGTTCTCTCACAGCAGTCCAGTCAATCAGAGAGGCAGCAGCAGGACGTCCTGGTGTGTACGCTCAGGGGAAGATATCTCTGCTTTTGTAGGGGAGTGGTGCTGCAGAGCTGGAGCAAATAGGAGTCACACAGACAAACTGCTTCACATCTCGAACGCTCTCTGACTTTTCAGTGTCTTGCACTTCCTCTCAACTCATTTACTCTCTTGTTCTCATTCTCTCTCTTTCTCTCTCTCTTTCTAAAAGACACACATGTTGAATCACATCCCCTTCATTTTCTCTTTCAGGCAGGACACTCTGCTCTATCATCCCCCCGTCAAACTTTCTGCCAGTGCTGCCCTTGCGTTGGAAGCTCTGTGCAGAGAAGAGAAGGAGGCGGAGGTGGTGGGCTGTGGGGTCTTTGTGTGTGTGTGTGCAGTAGAGAAAGAGTGTGCGTCTGATTGTGTAGTCACTTGTGTCTGAAAGACAATTGCAGGAAGTGTTGTTTCAGGATGAACAAAGTAGAGAAGACAGTAATGAAAAAATGAAGCAAGATGAGAAAATGATTTAAATTGGAAAGATGTTTAAATGTTTAACCCAAATCACGGGATCTAAATTAGATCTATACATATATCAATACAGAAGTTTAAAGATTTTCAATTTGTGTGTCATACGGTTTTTTTGACAGTTAAATATTTGGGTGTATTATTGTGCCGTTAGGGTGATGAGATGGTTTAAATTACATACCGTTTTTCAAGCATTTCCAAATGTTTTCAACCTTTTTACTTATTCTATGTATCAAACCTAGTGGTGGAAAGTAACGAAGTAAATGTACTTGATTGCTGTGCTTAATTATGTTTACTTTACTTGAGTCTTTTTTGGGGAGACTACTTTTAACTTTTACTCCACTACATTTCAAAGTTAAATACTGTACTTTCTATTCCACTCCATTTCTAGGAAGCTGGTAGTTAATTCAATTCAATTCAGTTTATTTATATAGCTCTAATTCTAAACACGTCATCTCAAGGCACTTTACAGTTCAACCAGATCATACCGTTAAATTTATTCAAAGTTTTCTATCTAAGAAAAACCAGTTGATTGCATTGACTCGTTGACTCAAAGGCAATCCCTCACACTAAGCATGCTTGTAGCGACAGTGGAGAGGAAAAACTCCCTTTAAACAGGAAGAAACCTCCAGCAGAACCAGACTTATTGTGAGCGGCCATCTGCCGAGGCCAAATGGGGTTCAAGGAAATAGAAGCAGGCATACAGAAAGAAGTAGAGATAGAAAAGGCAACTGTCAATCAGCTCCATAGGCATCCCCATCCAGGAAACATACAGCCAGGCAGATGAGCTCTGAAACAGCTCCCATGTCAGAGGATGAGGAGAGCACATGCAGTCAGTCAGAGTCAGAGAAACAGGACTACACTGAAAAAGCCAAGCTCGAACATCTATAAACAAAGGTGTTGATGGCAGCAGCACAGCTCATATTTCTCTCCAGGATGGTTTCAGCCAAACAGAAACAGACCAGATGAAGCAACTATGAAAAAAAGGAGAGAGAGCACAACGTTAGAGATTGAAATAACACATTTTGTAGAATGGAAGAATAGAGAGAGAATGAAGCGAAATGATGAAAAAGGGATCCCTATGTCCTCCAGCAGTCAAAGCCTATAAAAGCATAACTATAGAGATAGCCCAGGGTAACCTGAGCCACTCTAACTTTAAGCTTTATGAAAATGAAAAGTTTTTAGCCTTCCCTTAAAAGTAGACAGGGTGTCTGCCTCACGGACTAAAGCTGGTAGTTGGTTCAACAGGAGAGGAGCCTGATAGCTAAAAGATTCCCATTGTACTTTGAGAAATTCTGGGAACCAATAGTAAACATGCAGAGTTAGAGCAGAGTGGTCTGAAAAATCAGTTCTCTGATATAAGATGGAGCATGACCATTTAAGGCTTTATATGTGAGAACGAAGATTTTAAATTCTATTCTGGATTTAACAGGAAGCCAATGAAGAGAAGCCAGGATAGGAGAGATATGATCTCTCTTTTTTATTTTCATCAGAACTCTGGCTGCAGCATTTTGGATCAGCTGAAGGGTTTTACTATAATTAATGGACTTTAATAAAGGGACGATAATAAAGTTACAATAGTCCAGCCTTGAAGTAACAAATACGTTGGCTAGTTTCTCACTATCATCCCTGGACAGGATATTTCTAATTTTTGCAAAATTCGGCAGATGAGGGAAGGAAATTCTAGAAACCTCTTTGAAATGAAGCACGTTTGAAGACAAACATGCTTCAACTCTATCTGACTGGTTAGAATAATCAGGATTTCTGGACAACCATAGCAGAATTTTATCAGCATAATGGTTGAAGGCCATGCTGTCTGATGATTTCACCGACTGGAAGAGAAGTGGCACTGACATTGAACCCTGTGGTGCTCCACAAATAATCATGTAGAGTGAAGACAGTTATTATTAAGATGAACATTCTGGAATCTGCTGTTACTCTCACTCATATAGCATGTTCAAGTCTTTCTGTGAGAATACTGTGATTACCTGTATCAAATGCAGGCCTGGAAAAAATACTGGTACAAGTCCATGAGAACATCATTAATGACTTTTACTGGTAGTGTTTCAGTGCTATGATAAGCTCTACAACCTAACAAAAACTCCTCATACAGGTAACTACTAAATATGTACTCACACACAAAATTTCTTTTTTAAAGAATACAAAATTAAAGAGTTGACTCTGTAGGTCTATAGGTCTAGGAATTCTTAATTCATCTTGATCAAGAAATAATCATTAAGATCCAAAGCTTGCCTTGGCGAATTTGCAAGACAGTTATTCAAGAAGCTTAGTCACATAAAAAGCCACTGCTACGAGAAACCCTTAAAGATCTCATATTATACAAAATAAACTTTATAAACATTTTTGAACAACCATATGTATCTTGGCGGCTCTGTATAAAGTTCTTAAATGAAAAAAAACCCCAAACCTTTCACCTCTATCATTGCCACCATTACATTCTCCACCTCTTTGCTAATGTTTGCTAAAAATGCCCTGTTTGAAAAGTATTCCCCTCATGATATCACTGGGGGAAATTTGGGTCTGTCTTTACGAACTCTAACTGGTTGTCATGGTTGTTGGGGGCTGAATAAGGAGATTTTTGGTAAAGGCGGTCTGTCTAATCTGAGTAGAATTTTTCAGCACAAAAGGCAAAAACATGCTCCGGGGGCCTCATTATTAACATTTTTTATTTTAAAATGTAGCATCAGATGGGACCTTTAAGAGAAACTTCAGAACTATGAATCGAAAAAAGCCAAATGAAAGAAAGTGCTTTGCTCAGAAGAGACTTCAATTGCTTAAAGTAATCTTTGCATGGACCAAAATAAATGCAATTAAATTATTTACATCGAGTGATATTCATGGGTAAGAATGTCTCAAATACAAGTCCCAAAATTTTATGTTTAGTGATGTTCTCCATCCAATCTGACTAAGCTTTTAATTATTAGAAGAATGGGGACATTTTTCAGCCTATAGATTTGAAAATTAGATAAAGTTGCTCCCAAACTAGACGTGTTTCCATTAACCATCAAAAGCCACAAATTGTAGTTAAAACAATTTCTTAAAAGTTTTTTTTTTCCTTTTTCTAGACTGCAATGGAAACACTTTTTTTCACATCACTCAACTCATGTGATCTGCAACTGAACCTGTCATGATCTCAATATTGGTGCCTGGCCTGATTACTCATTTCACACACCTGCTTAGCTCCTCCCAGTTGTCATTACCCACTTATCTGATCCACCTGCATTAGTGTTAATATAATAATCATTGAAGATGTGTGAGTACAGCTACTCATCTGCTAATGTGTATGGTGTAAAATATGATGATGTGGCAGACTAGAGATGTATAAAATCCATTTTTAACTGTTAATCAGGGCCACTTCCTGAAGGTGAGCTCGGAGGTGAACAGCTGCCAATCTGTAAACTCTGATCTGAGTAAGATTACAATTTTAGCAGAATCTGTTGTCATGTCTCCTGGCTATTTAATACATATAAGTTATGAAGTGTTATTCAAAGAGCTTGTCCCGAGTGATCTCTTTTCAGGGAAAAGAACCAGAGATATAGAGCTTCAAGGTGCATACACAAAGCCTATCTTAAACATTAATCTCTATTTAACCTGCCTTCAGACCTGTCATCAGTACCAGATTATTCGAGCTGCTGGTGAGACTTATTCTAGCATTCCTGTATTCTGATTAGGTGATCCTGACCCGTTCTGTCTCTTGACCTCTGAGACTGCCTGCTCCCATCTGATCTGTTTCCTGACCTGTCTTCTGACTCTGCCAGATCTCTGCCTGTTTGTGTACTGTACCTGGAACTGTGACCCAACTTCGTGCTAGATTCTCCCTCTGCACCTGACCGGATCTCTGAATTCATGACTCTGACAACGGAGCACCTCACTGACATCGGCTTTGGCTTCGCCCTCTGGATTGTCATCCCTATATTTGTCCGCTTGGTTCTGATCCCCTACCTTTCCTCCGACCACCGATACCTCAGTGTCCAGGAAGCTCTGTGCAGTGACCGCCGCGCCGTGTTGGCAGCTAGCTGGAACCATCCTCAACCTCTGGATTCGGACTGAACTATAAGACCAGGTTAATGACTCACTTGTTCATTATCATCCCCTTCCAGAAAGACGGGGTCACTAACCTGCTGTCTCCACCCAGAGGTTCCTGCCTTAGACACTGACACTGCTCACTCCGATTCAGTTTTCAATAAATGTTTGGAAAAATCTGTTTGTCCGATTTGAACACAGGATCTTTCTGTTCTGAGCTTATTGCCTGCAAAATAGATGAAGTAGAAGACCATGGGTTAATATGGTGACTGAGTAATTTTTACATTTATTGTCCACAATGAGCTCAATGAGCACTAGAGTTGTGGCTGAAATATGGACATATCTTATATGTTTACATCTTCTGTTGCCATGCTATTCTTAACTGTTATGCGTGAACCCCTGTGTTTTTTATTGTGTAATTGAAATACCTCAATTGTGAAAATGTGCATTTTCAAAATTAGTAGAATATCGATACAACTTTCCATACTTTTTAATAGACATACAACTACTGTCTGTGGCTGTAATAGTGGTAAAAGGTTGCTCTGCAAAGAAATACATTTGTTTAGCTGAAAACAATTGAAAGTCAGGGTTTTTATTTTTTTGTAGAAAGAACAACTACTTCCAAGCTATACACTACTATCTGTTTAATTTAAAGTTAATACCCAATAGAAAATAAAAAGTTTTGTGGTTGGAGCATGACAAAATACAAAATGTCTCAAGGGGCGTGAATACTTTTAAAAGTCCTGTAGGT